ATGAGGTAAATTATTTTGCAAAGTATTCTATACTCATCTAATTCCTACCTACTTTAAGGTCTGCCTTAAGTCCTAACTACTCCATGAGGGGTTGGACAAATCTGGTCACCTGCATGAGTTTTTCCTTTCTTATCACAGAAACTTCTTAGCCCACTCATAGTTTATACATTATTATATACTCTTATATTTGATTAATGAGACATTCATAATGCATATCTTATCTGTCTGATAAAATTATAAGCAACCTAAGGACCAGGAATTTTTCTCTATAAGTAATAAAATATAATAACTAACATTTATTGAATACTTATGATGTGTCAGGAACTCTAGCAAGCATTTTATTATTTGTTAATTCTTCTAATTCCTACAACAACCCTTTGAGATAAGCCCTATTATTACTCTCATTTTGTAAATAAGGTTAACTGTGGCTCAGAGAGGCAAGGTGTCTGACTCCAGGAGCAGAGCTCTTACTTTTCCTCATACGCTACCTCTTTTGTGTGCTTTAGAGCAGTATAATATATAAAGCTGTTGCTCATTTTAGTCTTTGATAAATAGAAATGAATTTGTGCATTTGAGGGAAGACTACCCTAGAGAAGTCTGGAGAAGTACACTTTTATACTGATGGTCAAGATGGGAGCCAAGTGTGTCCTGGCATCATCACCTGCTTGTTGATTTTTTTTGCTGGTAGAAAATCTCCATAGCTACAAAATGGCCATATTCTGGACCATATTCAGGGCAGCCTTCTTTCGGGATCATAATTAAGATCAGAATCCCTGGGCCAAGTCATGGCACCTAGGAGCTTACTGTGAACTGGTTCCCATTTCTTATGGTTCCCAATGTTATGAGGGGGCTATATTCCCATTATGTACACTCTGAACTCCACTGGTTTCTCTTTTTAGAGCACTCATCCTTGAATCTTTGGCCAAGTCACCCACATCACAGCACTAAGGTCATAGATTCCAGGACCCCACAATGCGAATCATCTGTGAGAATTTACTTCCAGTTCTGGGGACAGGATCTTTGGGAAAACTAGGCACTGGGCCAGAAAGAGAGAGTAGTCTGGTAGCTCTTAACTTTGACCTTCAGCAGAGTAAAGGATTAAACCACTCAGGAAATACTAGATGTTCCATCAGATGTTGTTTGGACTATATTTTCTGTTCTATCTGTTCAAGCAATGCCATTCTAATTCCTATTATATTTTTTGTCATTTCAGAATGATTATGGGGACAAATTGTCTGCCTTTTATGAAGAACAGTCCAAGCTTGCCCAAACTTATCCACTAGAAGAAATTCAGAATGTTACAGTCAAGCGTCAATTGCAGGCCCTTCAGCAGAGTGGTTCTTCAGGGCTCTCAGCAGACAAGAGTAAACAGGTACGTTTGTGAACATTTTAGTGCTGATCCCAAGAGCTGAAATTTTTGTGAAATATTAAACATTGCTATCACCTATGGCTGCTTCCTTTATCTGCTAAGATTGTAATGCTGACATTACAAAGAGCTCTATGCCTAGGTAGAGTGATCATATAATTTATTATCCAAACTGGAATCTTTTTGAGGGTGAAAGAAAACACTGGTAATAATTACATTCAAACACAGAGTTAAACTGGAATTGTCCCAGGCACTGTGGTGTGTATGGACACCCTATGGTGTGAGGTCATCTTCCTGAGGATCAGGTAGCCTGAAGAATATGCTTAGTCTATGTCAGTGGTTCTCAACTAGGGGTGATTTGGGCCCCCTGGGGACATTTGACAATGTCTGGAGACATTTTTGGTTGCCATAACTGGGGGATACTGTTGGCATTTAGTGGATAGAGATGCTGCTGAACATTCTCCAATGCACAGGACAGCCCCCAACAACAAAGAATTATCTTGCCCACAATGTCGATAATGCCAAGCTTGAGAAGTCCTATATGTAGTCTAATTCTTCTTCCCTTTCATCCTTGACTCTCCTCTGCAACTTCTATAACAAGTGGCTAACTGCTTTGGCTCAAACCAGTTCAGGGATGGGTGATTCAGCTCTTCCCAAGACAGCAGTTCCATGTGTGAGTCCCTCCAACTGAAAGAAAATGCTCCCTTTGTTTGGTGTGAAGTGCCTCACTTCCACTTGGTTCTTCCTTCTGAAGCCCAATTCCTCGTTCCCATAACAGTCTTTAAACATATAAAGGCAGCTAGTATTTTTAAAACTACTTGAGTTTTTTCTTCTCTAGGATAAACATCCTTCACTCTATCAAAGTTCCCCTGCAATGGTTTTGAATCCCTTCACTAGTCCTAGTCGATGTCTTCATTTTGTCAGTATCCTTGAACCAAACACAAGTGGGTTCTGGTCTGCATGGAGGTCAGCAGGAATATGACATTATATACCCTGTGGTCTACATGTACTAAGACAGTCTAGGACTATTATTGGGTCTTTTTATTTGTTTGTTTGATAGCCAAATGCCATGGCTTGCTCACATCAACCTGTCAATGAAGTCTCCAAATCTCTCTGCCAATGTTGTGCTAAAAGGACACCTTTTAAAACTCTATGCTTAGGTAGTTAGTTTGTCCAAATTGAAGAAAGCTTATATTCACTCCTGTTAAATAGCATCTCTCATTCCATCCGTCTAGCCCAGGAGTCAGCAAACGTTTTTATGTGCTGGGACAGGTAGTAAATATTTTAGGATTTGTGGGCCATTATTGTCTGTGTCACAATTAGTCAGTTCTGCTCTTCTAGCAGGGAATCAGCCATAGCTATCACATAAACTAATGAGTGTGGCTACATTCTAATAAAACTATACAAAAACAAGCGGCAGACAGGATTTGGTCTGCAGAACATAGTTTGCAGATCACTGATATAGCCTATTGAAATCTTTTTATCTGAAATATTTTGCTATTTAATATCAAAGTGTTCTTTCTATGTTGCTTGTCCTCTGGAGCTCTATGTTCTAACCTGCACTTATAAAAACAAAAATGCATGATAAAGACAAACATAAAGCCATATGGCATGTATTTTTCTACAAGGTGCTATTTATTATTCTGTGTTCTTTGGGTCCAATTATCTAACCAGTTATTAATCCACTTTACCTTATCCATTCCATGTTTCTCCTTCTTTTTCACAAGGACACCATGAGAAACCTTGTCCATTCGCATATAGACAGCCTGGTTTAGCCTAGGTGGAATCTGGACTTTCTGTTTGTAAAAGAACCCCAGATAATTCTAATGTGCAGCCAGTATTGAAAACCACTGAAATGCATGTAAGAGCTTGAAGTTTTTGGGACAAGAAGGTACCCAAGGGTGTGTGGATTCAGTGGAGAGGAAACAGGGGAGATTGAAGAAGCAGGTAGAGAAAGAGACCATGACAGGTTTTGTGCCATGGTAAAGAATTTAGTCTTATTTCTTTAGACTATGGGATCTTGTGGAAGTTTTAAGGGTAGAATCTATTTCATCATTCAGGATAACAACTCTAATAGCAGAGCCACAGAATAACGGAAGAGGGATAATATAAGGGGAAACAGGGCCTTTAATCCAGTGCTTCTGTGGGAAAGAACCCTCCCTTCCTTCCCTCCTTCCTTCCTTCCTCCCTCCCTCCTTCCCTCCCTCTTTCCTTTCTCCCTCCTTTCTTCCTTTATTTTCAATCTACTGTGGATCAATACTTGGTCAAGTTCACTGATTACATGCTTAGATGTTTATTCTCTCAATTCCTGTATTTGTCATAGAAAGGAAACAAACTATTTGCTGATTTGCACTGGCCCATGGACCACACTTTGAATAGCACTGCTTTACTCTGTTACCTTCACTCCCCTTTACCTGTAGGGTAAAGTTTGAACTGTTTAGCATGGCGGGGGCCAGATCATGAGGCATAGTCTATGCCATTCTCATGTCTTCCACTTCCCCCAATGAACACCAACACTCCAGTTTTATTCAACATCTCACCATCCCCTGAAAATGCTCTGTCTTTTCCAGCTTCTTTTCATCTTTTAGGCTCTGCCCTCTACCTCCCCTCTCAACCTGACCAATGCCTACTTCTCCTCCAAGACACAGCTCTTATGTCCCCTCCTCTTTGAAGCCATTCCTGAATCTCCAGGTTATTAATTTCTCCCCCCTCCTATACTGCCGCATCACTTTTTGGTGACACTTACAGCACTTGTCACTGTTATATAGTTATTGATTTCATGGTTGCCTCATTGTCCCAGGACTTCGGGGTCTTTGAGGGCTGACTTGTTCATTTCAGAATTGTCAGAGCATAGAACATAGTAGAGGCTCAGTAAATGCTGAAAGAAACAAAAAATGCACTTCTCTGTGTATGTGTAGGTGAGAAACGTTCTTGGGATTTTGGTAGATCTTGTTATTTCAATTACTCCACATATATTTATCATGTGCTACAAGGCTTTGTGCTAGTTGACAGTGGGGAAACTTAACTGAGCTATTCCTTCCCTACATACAGGAAGATGCTTGGCAAAGAAGATGTGAACTGCTGTATTTCCAGTCATCAAAAAAAACCCATAGCCAAAAGGATATCTTTACATTAGCATTCTCTTTAACATATTTTCCATTGTTAACATTGTTTATTATCTTTAATTTGCAGCTGAACACAATTCTAAGCACAATGAGCACCATGTACAGTACTGGAACAGTTTGCAACCCAAATAACCCACAGGAGTGCTTATTACTTGAACCAGGTAGGCTGTTAATTTTGAATAGTGATTATGAGATTTACTTTTATCCCAAGTTTTAAAAATGAGATTGACATTAGATGATGACATTGTACTTTTCAGATGGATAATCTGAAGATAATAAGGTTCCAAATATGTATGTTTTAGCACATAGATGCTCTTTTAGCTTTTAACAAACTTCGTTGTAAATTCTATCACATTCAAGTAATTTAAGTTAGTAATTGAATTATTTCAGTGATTTACTTTCTCTGCAGACGTATTTTGGAATTATCATCAGGGTGAGGATATGAATGAATCATGAGATTTTATTTACTAACTTTATGGCCTTTTAATTCTTTAAAGTTCATGTAATTGTTTACAAATACAATTTTTACAAATGGATGTTTATTTTCCTTTGGGTGCTTTATGACAACAGGTTTGGACACAATAATGGCGAACAGTAGAGACTACAGTGAGAGGCTTTGGGCTTGGGAAGGCTGGAGATCTGAGGTCGGCAAGCAGCTGAGGCCATTATATGAAGAGTATGTGGTCTTGAAAAATGAGATGGCAAGAGCAAACAGTAAGTTTGCTGGTCTGTAGAGGTCCTGAAGGGCTCTCTGGGGCCACAGGGATATTTCTTCTACGTTACCAAGCCTGCCCTTTGATATCAGGAATACCCTCAAGTAACAATCATCTCCTGAACAATTTAGGCTACTGGTATCAAGAAGAAACTACCGGGGAAAAAGAAAAGGTGCATTGGCATTCTGCAGTTCAAGGAGCTCAAGAATGAGACTCAACTAAAGGACCTCTAATGAATTGTCCATCATTATGAATGATGAATTTTCCAGAAAGATCTCAGGTCCCCAAGAGTCCCTGAGGAAGTCTGGGAATTGACTGGGGATCCTATTTCTCAGAAGGATGAGAGACAGTGACACTATCCCTCATCTAAACCCCCATCTGGCTACAGTTCATTCTCAAAGGTCACTTGTGTGTCTACCTCAGGGTGATGTCCCAGAAAGAAAAAAATCAGCTTAGTTTAGTCTGGAAACTCATTATTTTCTGCAGTTGTAATTAACTCAAATCATGTGGTCATAAAAATCTTAACATAGAAAGGAATTTCCATATCTCTTAACTTATTCTCCTGCCTGAATAATGAGCTAAAGTCATGTTATTATGAATAATTTTATGCTTTGGCAAGTCACTGTCCCCTGGGGTTGAGTAAGGAAGAATATTTTTCTCATTTGTTGTATCTAAATTTCTTCCACTACCACTTAAATTCATATTCTCAAGCCTTAGGCAAGCTGAAGATAGTAGCTTATCACAATTTTTAAAAATAATATCCTGCATATCTTTCCATTCAAATATCTATTTTTCTCCACATCCTCCTGATTGTCCATTGCCAATGTCTGTGTAAAAATAAAAATTACTAAAATATGTTTACAAACTTTATTAACCAATATCCTAACACAAGCTTGTGTTTCCTGATGGTGAGCTACTAAATGAAACACATAGAAACGTGCTGTGTATATATAAAATTTGCAAACAAACAGGTTCCTACTGTGGCAACGGCTAAGATGAGTTTGGTCAGATCTGAAAATATAAGGCCCTGAACAAAATGAGAATTAAAAAAACTTAGAGATCCAATCACATGTTTTAAAACTAAAGAAGCAAACTGACCTATATAGAGAGTAGAGACCAAGGGTTAAGAGATTAAGAATGTGTCTCTGCCCCTTATTAGCTGTGTGACCTTGGACAAGTGATTCAACTGCTCTAAGCATAGGCTGTTGGTGGGAATATAGATGGGTGCAGCCATTATGGAAAACAGTATGGAGGTTCCTAAAGAAATGAAAAATAGAATTACTATGTGACCCGGCAATCCCTCTTCTTGGGTAAATACCCAAAGGAGAGGAAATCACTGCCTTATAAAGATATCTGCACTGCAGCATTATTCACAATAGCCAAGATATGAAAACAACCTAAGTGTCTGTCACTGGATGAACGGATAAAGAAACTGTGGTATGTATATATATGGAATGCAATGTATATATATGAAATGGAATATCATTCAGCCTTAAAAAATGGGAGTTCCTGTCATTTGCCACAACATGGATAGAGATGTAGGACATTATGCTAAGGGAAATAAGCCAGACACAGAGAGAAAAATATTGCATGATCTCACTTATATGTGGATTCTAAAAAAATTAAAAAGATCAAATATACAGACAAAGAATAAAACAATGGTTACCAGGAGTGGAGTGGGAGGTGGGAAATGAGATGTAGGTCAAAGGATACAAAGTGGCAGATATGTAGGATGAACAAGTCTAAAGATCAAATGTATAACCTAAAGACTATAGTTAATAATAATGTATTGTATTCTGGAGTTTTTCCTAAATGAGTAGATTTTAGCTGCTCTTTCCATGGGGGGTAGAAATGGGTAACTATGTGAGATGATTAATATGTTAATTTGTTTCACTATAGTAACCATTTTACTATATATATGCATCTCATAACATCGTGTTATATACCTTAAATATACATAATAAAATATATTTTAAAAATATGCATAAACTGTTAATCTACACAGTGGCATTATAATAATGACAAGCTGGTCTGGATTTTGTGCTTGTTAGATGAGATAATACACTTAAACTCTGGGCACAGAGCGAGTGCTTAACAGACATTACCTAATCTTATTCATTTGCATCCCTTTGAGTTTATGTTTATCACAGTAAAAATGTGATAAGCCTTTAGATTTCTTTTAACCTCCTATCAAGACTAATCTATGTATACTGGATTTGTTTTTCTTTCCCTTATGTTCTTCTCTTTCTCTTTTTAAAAACACAGATTATGAGGACTATGGGGATTACTGGAGAGCAGATTATGAAGCAGAGGGGGAAAATGGCTATAATTATAACCGCAGCCAATTGATTGAAGATGTGGAAAGTACCTTTGCACAGGTAACCGAGGAACTGACACAGAAACAGATGTAGGGCAGTGCACAGGACAAAGGGACAGTGACTAAAGGCACTCCAGCTTATTCTTAACACACTGGTCAGCCACTCTTGGGCCTCATAAGAGTTACGGAATATTAGAGCTTGAATAATAGGGAAGCCCCTGCAGATGATCAGAATTGTTCTGCTTTCCTCCCCCTTTCAGTCACTGACCAGTAATTACCAATAGAAAAATTATAAGAAGGCAAGATTATAAGAAGGAATGGTCTCTGTGAGCTTCTTGGGGCTGGTACTGTCTTCCTTTGCAGGCAGACCCATAGGCTTTGCTTCCTTCCTCAGGACAATTGATACTATTATTTCATTAGCCTTTGACTAAGGAAGTCTATAAAGGGAAGAGAGAGTCCTATGAGCAGAATTGCCCCATGTTTACTTTTCAGTGTGTCCTTCTTCCTTCATTTTGGCCCCCACACCTGCCCTTTACTTCTACACCTTCAAACTTCTGATGTGAAGCTACTCTGGCACAGTCATAATTGGGCAGAACTATGAAAAATGGAAGACAACTCTCCCCAAAAAGAAATGGCTGGAAGGTTTGAATAAATACATAGTCAAAAAAGTATACAAATGGCAAATAGGCAAGTAAAAAGTTATTACGGGAATGCAAATTAAACCATGATGAAAATCCACTACATACCCACCAGAATGGCTATGATTAACAACATGGACAATATCAAGTATGGAAAGACTTTTATGCAAATGTTCATATATCCATAGCAGCATTATTCACAATAGCCCCAAACTGCAAACAACCCAGTTGTCCTCCAACTGGAGAGTGGATCAGCAAACTTGGATATATCCAGACAATGGAATACTACTCAATAATAAAGGAAATGAACTCTTGATACTTGCAACAACATGGATGAACCTAAAAACATTCTGTGTGAAAGAAGCCAGATACAAAAGGTCACATATTATATGATTCCATTTATATGAAATGTCCAGAATAGGCAAAACTGTAGAGACAGAAATCAGTGCAGTGATTACCTAGGGCTGGAGGTGGAGTGGAATTGACTGCAAATGGGCACAAGGAAACTTTCTGTGGTGATGGGAGTGTTCTAAAATTGGGTAGTGGTGATGGTTTCCCAACAGTTTTAATTTATTAAAACTTATGAAACTATACACTTAAAATGGGTGAATGTTATGGCATTTAAATTATACCTCAATTTAGAAACAAAGGAAGTAGGTAACATCTTAAAAACAACTTTTTTTTTGTATCTGCTTTTATTTTGGGACCTGTCTTCCTCCAAGTGTGTTTATTGATTTATGCAGTGGAGCTAATTATCATCAATATCTGGGAAGAAGGAATGCTTTTAAACTCTCCAGAATATTTGAGAGAAGCAGAAATTATAACTAAGGGAATAATTCTACTTGGCTAAAGAAGCTCCTGTTTCTAGTGTTGGGGACTGGAAATTGGAGTTGGCTACTCTTGATTTTAAACTTTCTTCCTGGGCTTTTTAGATCAAACCATTATATGAACATCTTCATGCCTATGTGAGGGCAAAGTTGATGAACGCCTACCCTTCCCATATCAGTCCGACTGGATGCCTCCCTGCTCATTTGCTTGGTAAGAAAACTCAGCAATTCTTTGTGTACTTGGCTCTTCATTATTTCCACCAATAAAATTGTCTTTTGGAATGAGGCCCAACCTAAAACTTTTGAAAAATTCTGTGAATGAAATTACTGACATTATAGAAATCACATTTTGAGAGCACTTTCTTCAACAGAAAGTCCATTTTCAATAATTCTCTATTACATTACTTTTTTAATACATAAAGAGTTGTGTTGGCTGAAATTCAAAGGATAAAGGGGTTATTTGAGACAACTAGAGAAAGAATTCCAGGTTCAAAGGAGAGTGGAAATGGGGAAAATAATTTTTAGTGTTCAAGTTGGTTGGCTAAGCTTTTGGGATGGAATTTGGGATTATAGTATCATATTGTCAGAGGAAAGAAGCTTGATAGGCTGGGGATGGTCAGGGGTAAGAGAAAGGCTTTCCAGAATTAAGGTATAGCCTTGGAGAAAGCTTCATAAGTTCATTCTATACTATGCAATTACTTTTGCTGAAAAGTACTTGGTTTGGAGTTATCTGAGTAATGAATGAAGGAGAGTGGCCATTCCCCACTCCCCACTCCCAGAAGCTGAGACCAAATAAAATATAAATATTAATATTTGAAAATTTCATGCCATGCATATATGGCACATCTACTGTAGTCAAGCTAAATCGCGGGTACCTAATTCTCCTCCTCATGTCCATCAACAGGAGAGAATATGGACAAAGGACCTGTGGAGACTTTTAGCCCTAAGGGAATATGGAAATATTCTCTACGTGTCCTTGGCAGGCATTATTTAGTAATTCAGTTTCTGCTTAAACCTGCCTAATGTGATGGGGCAATTTTTTCCTTCCAAGGTAGACTAATTTATTCTACAGGGCACCAATTATAAGAAAGTTCTACCTTACATAGAACTTAAGCAACACTGCTCTAATGCTTTCCATTCATTACTCCTATGTCCATGCCATGAGGTTACCCAGACTATGTCAATTCTTATTGTACAAGATGATCTTCCAGATATTTGTAGACAACCATCATATAAGACACAATATAGCAGCTGGTGCAGTAAATTTTAGTGACTATTATTGTTATCATCACATACACACTGTTTTCTTTTTCCAACTTAAACATCTTACACAGATTTCCAACCATTCCTTAAAGCACTATTTTTCTAGCTGTTCTCCTTTGGATGAGCTATATCTTGTTAATGTTCCTCTTCAGTTAACATGCTCAGAACCGAACAGTTACTCCAGATAAGATTTGACCAACATAGAGAAAAACGTGATGCCATGCCTACCTTTGTTCTAGACACTATAATTCTATTGATTTAGTTTAAAGTCACATTTGTGTTTTAGAAGCCATGCCATGTGTAGTCTTCGTTGAGTCACTTTTGGTCTTTTACATGTGGACTGTGCTTCAGCCTGATATCACATATATCACATATATTTCTATGGTGGATAGGTTTTTCTTTAAAATTTAAGTGTAAGACTTAAATTTGCATGTATCTCTACTACATTTTATCTTCTAAAAAATGAGTTCACTGGAGTACTGTTCATGTAGTTATGTTGCCCCATTTCTTTGGTGCCAGGATTCTGGTACTGCCATTAGATTGACTTTTTCTAGAATCCATCTTCCCTTTTAGTGTCTCTGGCCTTGGAATTCAACTTAACATTTGTTTGAGATATTTAAAAAGCCAACTGGTTAAATGTATTACTATAGTAATAAAAATGGAATTTAGCTACTAGTTAGTAGAAGCTCCTGAATGATGATATTATATCATCTCTTTTGAATCTGATAGTTTAATTAGTAGTATTTTATCTCTTTGTAATATACAGTAACTATGATGTTCCATATATTTAATAAATCATGTCTATATTTCTGCTGTCTCTGTCATGTATTAATGGATTCTTTTTTTAAATAGGTGATATGTGGGGTAGATTTTGGACAAATTTGTACTCTTTGACAGTTCCCTTTGAACAGAAACCAAACATAGATGTTACTGATGCAATGGTGAACCAGGTAGGAAAAAGAAACCTTAAAAACTAAATCTAAATTCTCAACTTCATTTCTTTTTATACTATCCTTCTGTTCTTATTTTTTGTATGTGAAACCATGTAAATAAAAAAAGCTAATTTACATTTATTTCTTATGTAGCTATATTTTCATGGAAAAGTAGTTTACAATGACCTCGAGTACCTTGAATGACAGGTATGGTATTTTATCTTGAGAGGCATTCAAAATAGAGATGAT